GATTTTCATTTTATTTCGTTATTCGAAAAAATAAAAAACAGGAAATTTCCTCATTGCTACTCTAAACCCATGTACACTAACAACTGCCTTGATATTAGCCGGTAACGAATTCCATAACTTCGCGCCGTTCATAAAAAATATTCTTTAAGATTTTAATACTTAATAATAATGATGTACCGGGCGCAACGCTGAATGCTGGTCCTTTTATGGCACTGTCATCTACTAATAGTTACTAAGATTTCATCATCAGTAACATTTTATAATTAGCTAAATTTATGCGAAATCGGATAGGAAGTCCACGTTTATTGTATACGCAAATGATAAAAAAATATAGGCAGACGAAACGCTTCTTAACCTTAATGAGGTTCCGTGTATGTACACTTTTTGTTATCGCAAATTCAGGGACATTTTCGAAAAATAAAACTCCTTTTCTGTCCGAAACACTGTTTTCAACAACTGCCCTGTTGATCTCAACATCTCAGCCCCACACAACTCCACCGAAGGGTACATTCCATAATCAGCTCTCAAAGCCCGAGTTTTACCACAACAACTAATTTGAAATATATGCCACATAGCGGCTGTGTAGATTCAGAAATATCCAGTTTTGCTGTCGTGAAATATCGCCTCGGCGCAATCTACAAAGTCGAAATTCTCGATATTCTATTCTCCACTCTCATTGAATTTAAATAGGTACACAAAGTTTGTCATTCTCTGACAGTGGATCCGCCCTGCTCCTCATTGGAAAGAAGGACTCTACAAATTAACATGTCTATGGCATACATCACATGCGCAACAAGCTGCGATTATTGCAAACAGCTAATGAGACGTACCTGTACATTGGTACATTATTATCCTACGCCAAATACACTGAAGAGAAGATATCACATTTAAAGAGAACATTCATTTTAACTCGAAGTGTAAATTTCGAATAATTTTATACTCTACATTACTTATGGTACAGGTATGGTGTATTAAGTAGGTGCATATCATTTTATTTTTGAAAATAGCGTAAAATCGAATGCCACGCCTATAAAAATTGTATAAAACTATTGAGGAGACGTACATTTTATACATTTATATAAAAAAGATTATATATTATATATATATATAGAATTAACATGAGATTAATATGAGATTTTCATTTTTCCCAGATAATCCCAGTTTATATATTACTAAGATATTACTAAGATAAATATCCTCATATATACTACGAGCTTTTGGTTTTTCCATTCCTTTGCCGCTACGCGAATACTCTACATAATCTTCAGTTTGGGCCAACAGTAGCGATTTAGGAAGTGCTTGCAAATGTTCTTTTCCACAATATGTTCCTTCGTCTGAAAAAAAATAAAATATATTATTCACGGTTGTAATTGAGATCTCTAAATACTTTACGAATTTTTATATCTTTAAACAATTTGATGTAAGGTTATAAATTCAGCGGCTAAAACATTCTACATGTCGGGGGGCAGATCAATGTCCCAATTGTATTCCGCGGACCCAACGGGGCTGCCATGGGATTTCTACCCCGTTCACAGTCATACTCATGAACCGGTTTTCTACTGAACTAGAACAAGTTGTGAAACGAAAGTCCAAGCGCTGCTACGCTATTTCTGTTACTGTAACAACTACAGCAAAAGCAACTTTACTGACGACGGGAAGCCGTGTTCACTGACAAAAAAAAAGAGAAAAACAAAATTAAAAATTTTTGTAATTTATCAGTATGTGTGCTATAGTTTCTTCTTTTTTCTTTCATTTAGCCGTCATATAAATTTTTTCAAGTTTCCAATTTTTCATATTGGCGGCATACAACAACAAGTATGTACAATTGCTTTGCAATACTTGGACATACTTGTCCATAGTTGCAGAAAGCTTTTCTGCGCGTGGTTGCAAATACTATGTGCGTACATATACAACACCCAGAGGAAGTTGAGATAGAAGGATTACTTATAATACCGTACGATTCAGAATGGCATTTCTTTGATTCTAGTTTGTCCGCCTTGTATCCTTGTGTTCAAACTATAGTCCGCGGTTTTGATATATTTTGGCTAAATTTGGTAAATCGACGCTGTTTTGGCCTAAGAACGCTGTTGAAAACGGTTGGAATCGGATCACTTTTTCAATCACTCCCCCTTTGACGTCCTATCATGATATGGTATTGCAAGAATTTCAAAACAAAAATCGTCGAGTAATAGGGTTCCGACGTTCTAAATTGGCGGGGAAACCTTGCGAGGAGATGGTGCAATTTTTTGAGCATCTTTCATATAAACATTCCTACGAAAACCGAATGTTTATATAGTGGAAAGATATAATTTTCAATATTTCATGGCGAAAATCTGTTCAAAACGGGAAATTGGCAAGGAAATCAACTTACCGAATTTGGACTACATAGTTCTCTTTTTCGAAAACCGCCCTCTATGACGATTCTAATGAAAAACAGGCCTTTATATGGTAAAAATATCTAATTCTTGATATTTTATAATGAATATTGGTTCAGAGGGGCCTTTTGACATTTGTAAAAACTTATTTGTATCAAGTTTGCATCAAGTAGATTTTTTTTTTGAAATCATCCTGTACAAGAATTGCCATAAAATATGACTCTTGCTTGCTAAAAAGGTCTAATTTTTAATATTTTATAATGGAAATAGGTTCATAGTAGCAATGCAGCGTAAAAGTCAACCGTAGGGAATTAGAATTTCTTAGACCCCATATATGGCGACAAAGTCTGGTTGCAGCCTTTTGTGACGGTAGCAATTGAAAAATAAGTCTTTGTGAAGTATGCTAAATTTGGGTCAAGTGAGTTGACATTTTGAGCAAACACTAAAGAAAATAAGGAATTTCATAAGTAGTATGGCTTTACCTAAAAATAAGGTGTTATTATCAGGGAAATGACTATATGACGCGAAATGGAGTAGCGTATCTAATAGCCGTCTTACCCGATTATAGTGTTCTTACGTGTTTTTAATGATATAATTGAACTTTCAATTATCAAAAGTTAAGTGTTTCAAGGTTGTCAAAATTAAAGTAAAATAGATTACCTTTCATTTCTTCGAACGACAAGTGCTTTAACATTTGATGCATTTGTTCCTCACTTATGGACCGGTCTAAAAACTGGCAAATATCTTCAATAATTTGTCGGAGATTCATTTTCATACGTTCAAAACTGGTGTAATAAAGCCAAGGTTGCGAGCGAAGAAAATAAAATTCCGTAACATGATCAAAATCACATTCCGTCTCGCGGCTTTCGATTTTCTCTGTCAAAAACTGTTCCAAAGTCTGGTGCATATTAAGCCCCATGCTGCGGCCGAAATTGTACTGAGAAATGAGGGCATCCTTCGGATCTCGATAGACGTAAATCAACTTTATAAGCCGCAGTAGACAACGTTTTCACTAAGAGTTACTAAATAGTATATAATGATCGTATTCGTACCTTGGGTAGTTTAGACCAAAGTTGTGCCGGTAATAACGGCAAAGGCAAATGTGACTTTATGAGACGAGGCGACGTTAGTATTTCTACCGGTCTCAAGGCGGTTTTCAAGTCTTCATTAACTATGTATTCGAATCTGATACCATTTTTTAGTATGTAACGATTAAAGAAAATAAAATTCCGTACCATGATCAAAATAATCAAACTACCAGTGCATTCAAGGGCTGGAAAACCTCCTACTGGCCTTTTTTCATTTTGCAATGCCGACGGCAATTTGCATTTTGCAATGAATTTTAACAGATTTCGTGAGTCATAAAGGTGGCGGTTTTGCAAATTAAACGATCTGGCAATTTAAGTTGTTAGTTGGGCACTCAACCATTTTTAGCAATTTTTTTATTTATTATAAGCGACTCTGTGCTTTGCCTTTCAAAGTAATTTGAAGAACATTTTCGAATTAAAATTATAAAATTGCATTTGTGGCTGAAAGGCGGAAAAATTGACACGATTTTAATTAAAAAAAACTAAATTGCCCGAAAACTCGAGAAAAAAAATGTTTCGTAGTTATTTGGTATGATGGCGCTTGGAATAATCCATTGTTGGAGTTGTGCATACCGCTCATTGCAATTGGATATTAAATAAAAAGGGACAAAATCAAAATCTACCATCGATAGAAGAAATACAAAAAACCTTAGTGATGTTAGGAGATAAAAATCAAAAATTTGTAGATTCTCGTGATTCGAAGTGTGCTACGTGATAGATGCTTTATATAATGTGACGAGCAAAATAACTCCCGCTTTCATAAAAGAAATCATCAACAAAAAGACGATAGTCGGCCCCATAGCGGAGCAAACTCATAAATATATAGATGCCATCACTAACTTTACAAATGTCTTCCAACGCAACACAATCAACACGGCCAATTGGAACCAGAATAAAGCAGCGCTAAAAGCATCCAACAAGTATTTGAAAGAAGAACTACAGCTGGAGCAAATATGCACTGATACGTATCTGACAATGGACAGCTTCACCAAATTGATAGAAGAACAGCTGCAGGCTTACCTTGACATTTGAATTTCAGGGTATTTCAATTACAGGGTACAGGGTAAGCCAGGATTAATTAGAACGTTTCATCTGTAATATGGCCCCACACTTTAAAAAGCGCACAAGATCAACGGCGCAGATCAAGCAGCTGGCAGCACGTTTGCAGAAAACACAACTGAATTTTTGGAGTAGCGGCAATACGACGACCGACGACTATCTCCTGATAGAAACCCTGGATTATCAGAGTCGGGTAGAGGCCGAAGAAGCATTCCGACCATCCGGCCTAGATAGCGTGGCATATAGAGATGTAACCGACAAACGTACCCCTCAACACGTTGATTATTTCCGGCTGCTCACGGGCTATGGAGTAGCAAGATACATCCATGAGCAGCTAAAATGTCTAGTCGACCTCACCATACCCAAAAGAAACGCGTGCAGAAAAGAATGAAATCTAATTGTGCCCAGAAACATGCACGACAATATCATCCTAACAAACAGGCCGAATTCTGCAAAGAAAACGTACACGCAGCATTTAACACGGCGTACAAGCTAATATGTATTATAACAAACCAACATATGCCAGATCTAAAAATAGGAGCGCGTATACAGGCGACCATTGTGGACCAGGTCCCTTGGGGTACGTGATAAGATTGGCGCTAAGCGAAGAAAATTGGAGGGAAACACCCGTCCGCAACGTGTCGCGTTTCTCGAAACAGTTAAATTAAATTAATTTTAAATAGAATAGTTAGAATTTATTCATATTGTTATTATTTTTATTTATTTAGCTCATGTATCTCATGTTAACTTATATCACACATAACCATTTATTTTATACTTTTATATTATATTATATTTATATTAATGAGCGGGGCTTTATATATTCTATCTCTCTTAGTGATAAGTATATAATATTGTAAATATAATGCATGCTATATTTAATAGGAATAATATGTTATTTAATATAATTAATATAATTTTTAAGTAAGTATATCAATGGTGTAGGCCTTTAGGGGAGCCAGCCATTTCAAACAATTGGCAACGCGCCTATAACGGTACCTCATGGGTGGCGTGGAAAACCGTGTTAAGTCGTGATATTGACTACACATTCAAATATGCGAATTGTTAACGAGATATGAATAATTATTAGTTTGGGGAAAAAGAAATCCATTATTTTTATATGAAGTTCAGGACTTTATTTAACATGCTTCGGAATGTCAGATTTGGGTCAAATATGTACCGTTTTGTTGTACGATTTGTTGCCATTTTAAAGGTAAGTTATTATAGAAGAAATTGGAAAATTAAATTAATAATTTTGTTATATTATTTCTTATATTAGCTTGCGGAAAAAGAAATCCATTATTTTTATATGAACTTCAGGACTTTATTTAACATGCTTCGGATTGTCCGATTTGGGTCAAGTATGCACCGTTTTGTTGTACGATTTGTTGCCATTTTAAAGGTAACTTCAAAATGGCTCTCTCATAGAAGTCCTGGTCTCTATTTGCAAAAAACTCTAGTAGTCGATTTTCACAATCCTCCCTAGATTCCAATTTTTTATCATTAAAGAAATTTTGCAATGCAAGAAAAAGATGATAATCGCTTGGTGCCAAGTCCGGACTGTACGGCGGATGCATTAAAACTTCCCAACCAAGCTCCCGAAGTTTCTGGCGAATCACTGTAGATGTGGATGGCATAGCGTTGTCCTGGTGGAACACGACACCTCTCCTTTTGGCCAATTCTGGCCGTTTCTGGTCAATCGCTATCTTCAAACGGTCCAGTTGTTGACAGTAGAGATCAGAATATATATGCTATGTATGTATATAGAAATCAAAGTCCAATTTTACGTCTCCTTATGCTGCAATCCAAAATAACGTTTATGTTGTGAGGTCCTTTGGACGAAACGATCATAACTGGCCACGATAATGGTCAACTGTCCATTTGGGAGGTTCGCAAAGGGCGTGAAGTAAATTCCGTTAATGATCATACGGCTGGCATAAATGACATGGAAATGTACAAGGACGGTACGATGTTTGTAACTGGTTTTTAAGACACGTCGGCGAAATTATTCGACTCTGAGTATGTACAAGTTATAAAACTTAACTCAAAAGGAAAACTAGATTTGTGTTTGCGATTGCTGGAAGATTCGCTTAAAACGCAAGTTCTAAACGAGGTGAGCGGCTTTCAATAAAACTAATGCAATCTCGTATAATATACAAATATAGATAAGCCAAATAATTACGATTACCTCGAGGTATTCGGATGCCTTTACTGTTGAACAGAGTAGTGTTGCACAGAAAGAGTTTCATTTCAATATGCCAGCACCTACTATTAACATAAAATTGCTTTCTTGTAGAATCTGGCTGAAAGTAGTAATGGTAAACTTGGAATCATTAAATACAACAGCCATTGGCTCTTCAGCATTACATAGTCGTAAGTAGGGCACTTTTTTGGTAGCATTGGAAATTTATTGATAAAGCAAAGTTTTACCTTTTAGGCAGTTCTGGTAGATGATACAGATAGATGTGTTCACTTTACATAAATTTGGGCAACTGTGCTAGATTTGGCTGAATATGCTTTTGAAACTTGTTCGGTCCGTAATTTTGTCCACTGGCTTGCCGAGGAAGGCATGCTACAGACACTTTGCCGCGGAATTAATATGTTAGGAGCTTTTAATTGAGCTATAAAAATGTTACATCAAAATCCTCATTCTAATAACGCATTGCATGTGTATCAAGAAAGTGCGTCAATTTTTAAAGTTCTGCTTACTCATGCTGAATGCTGAAGCCCGCATGCCGAAAATTTCCTTGTAGAATTGCAATCACATAAATCAAAAGTCTTGAGTTGGTTGTCAATTGGTCAATTTATAAAGGATACGTATTCTGAAAGAAAAATTTCGTTTTTTATGTTTAATTTGGAGGATATTCTAGTAAGTGAACCTATGCATGTCGATCATCAAGGGGATGTAGTTAGCAGTATGCATTGCAATATTGGCACCGACAAAACCAGGAATTGAAGAATAATTAAAGTGCTATAAATATAAGGGCCTGTAAGTAATTTATAAATAGATGGCCTAAGAATGGTAAATAAAATGTACACTATTCTAAAAGACGCCATTTAGCGGTACGACCTTAATTTCAAAAGGAGCTAAGCAGGTAATGTAAAATCACAAAAAAGACAGCTTACGCTACCATAGTTTTACCGGACAAATGGCAAAAGAGAATTGGTACAAATAGGGCATATTTGATATAATTGCTTTAATCCACATAAAGTACATATACAAAAAAAAGAACTTTTATTGTTTCTTTTTTTGAAAATTTTCTTTTCTTAGTATTATTAAGTTATATCTTCAAGAAATGTGAGATTGATGTCAACAATATATTAAAGGCTCCGAACTATCTCGGTCAAATGTTTCTTTGAAATCCAATTTGGTATTCTACTCCATTTGCCAACCTATTTTCTATATAATAACTTTTCGTAGTCGAGATGTAACTGTGAGACGAGAAAAGTAAACCGTTCCTACTCACATTACAATAATTATTTCATAATCTATTCCATTTGAAGGTATTTTATTTCTGCAATCACTGTAAACTAACAGCTCTGGTGACGTCTACTTACAACCCGTTACGAGTGTATCTGCCGACAGTGGCTACAATTTTTATAGGCGTGGCATTCGATTTTACCCTATGAATTTATATTTTTGATACATTTATATAAAAAAGATTATATATTATATTTCAAGCAAAGCACTTGTATGAATATATATGGAAAGAGAATATTCTTTTTATTTTTGAAAATAGGGTAAAATCGAATGCCACGCCTATAAAAATTGTATAAAACTATTCAAGAGACGTACAAGGGGAAATGAATTTATATTTTTGATACATTTATATAAAAAAGAAAAATGTCACTAAAGCTTTTTGATAATTTGTAGTTTTTATACCGTACACCAGTTGCGGTACAAGAATATATTAAGTTTACACGGACGTATGCAGCACCCAGATAGGCTCACCATTTGTTACATCGATCGATTCAGAGAGGTTGTCATAATGACTTTCTGAATCGATCTAAGCTTATTTGTCCGCATATCCGCCTGTCCATCTTTCCGTCTTGTTTCCCTGTTTCTGTGTACAACCTAAGGCCCGTAATCTTTGAGGCATTACGACGAAATTGACTACAACGACTTGTTGCGATACACAGACGAAAGCTACTGAAAATTGTTCGGATCACACCATACTTTCGACCACTCCCCATATAACACCTTATTATAAACAATTATAGGGTGAAGTAACGCAGTAGTATTCCGCATTTTGAGATAGTGCATGTAGCCGCAAGTTTTTGGTGTTTAAAACTTTTTGAAAATAATTTTGTGACTGCGCGACAATTCTAACGGGTCAAATGGGGCTGTCTGTACATGAACTTTTAAGAAAACTCAAGGAAAAATTTTACATAGAGTTAAGATCAACATCTTCTATAAATTGCAGCGAACTTTGGTTTGAAAATTTTTGACGAAAATGTTCTCTCTGCATTATTCGGCAAAAAGCGTTTAGAACATTGCAGATCGCCGTCATGATTATGTAGCCGAAGCTCTGTTCCACATCAAATGCATCCGCCGGGAAATTGAATGAGATAGAAACTGACTTGTCCGCGTCATCTCAATACTTACATGGTTACATTGGCTATTGGGCGGCACTGCCCAAATCTTGCCTGCCAATGCTCAAGCTCACGGCGATTGGCTTCGGATATAAAACATTGCTCAATAAATTCTTAAGATACGACATATAAATATCGTCACTACTGACGAATTCATATGATCTTGAACAAACAAAATGGGTCAAAATTTCATCACATTCCGATCAACTTAGAGTTGATTTCGTAACACCACCTTTGTAATTCTCAGAGCTATGGAATGAATTTATTGTGTAGCAAATGATATGTGCGTGTTTGTATGCACGATTATACGTTCGGTACTCCATTAATTCATAAAGCAAGGGGAGCCATAAAGCGTAAAGCGTAGTTGTGCATAGTACATATTTTTTCATTTTTTCATTAATGCTGTGTGGAAGAGCCTCACAAGCAGCTATATTAAAATCCAAATAGATTTGTGTACCCCGCCTCATACATTTTACTATGTAGGTTTTTTTGGTAATAATGAAATAACCCATGGATAAAATTAACTGTTGCGTAATTCATTCTAAGGAGACTACTGAGCGAAAGCGCGTATATTATTTGAGGTCGTAATCATGTTTCCAATAGACTGAGTAATAGATAGATAGTTTCTTCTCATCGTATTCATGGGTGCGCCAAAGACTACCGGTAAGAAAAATTGCAAAATCAAGTTTTTCCTTCTCGATAAAGTTTAAAGGTCAGAATCCTGCTTTCAAACAAACATCATAGGCTCACGATATAATGACGTTTTAAAATAAAACGTTACAGAGGAAGTGGTCCGACCCGTTTTCGTTAGTATTCGTTCTTGGGCCGAAACACGCCGGTACATCATACTTTATCAACATATCTTCAAAAATTTAGGGCCGAAAAGTTGAACACAAATAATAAAAGGAGACCGACGGACGGTTAACTAGAAAGTTATTGTGAATCGATCGATATAATGAAAGATGGGTCTATGATACCGCTACGCCTGAAGAAATTCTAGACACGTTTTTCCCTTTTAACCCTTATTTATTCAAGGCGTAAGTGACGATATTCTCGCCTAATATCTCCGTATTAAAATATTGATTTTTTAGGTCTGGTCAGCGTATATCACCCATTTACTTGCAATACCAGGCCAGCGATGCAGAAGAACGTTTTTCTCATTCTTTAACGCCTGAATCTATTAAAATCGAAAACGAGGTCATTCTGAAACTTTGGGTGACCATGACATTGATGATTTCCTGCCCGACGATAAACGTCAAAAGTTAATAGATACGAAAATAGATCAACCAAGAGATTTATCTTAATAAGTGAGCTGATGCAGAGTCCAAATAATTCATTTTTACTTGTATGAATCACCAGGAACGTTCAGATCTTTAAAACATTTTGTTTAGAATAAATTGTGCAAATTATTGCAATAAATAGTAACTTATTTTTTTAACATACCCTGCAATATTTGTTTGTTCTTGCGCGGATATATATGGCGCCCAGAAGACGCACGTTTTATTATACGGATCGAGTCGAAATTGGCCTAAGCTTGCTTATCTGCATTGAGGCTACAGGTCGTAATTTTTGAGACACTTTGATGAAATTGGGTGCGTAGTTTTGAGGATGTAATGGGGATGAATCGGATCGCGCTATTTTTTGACCATATTTGAATAATTGCTTCAAGTGAAGTGATGTGGTGATGATGGCGATCCACTGCTATGTTTTTCATTGTTTTTTTCGCTGCCATTTAGAAGAAAACATTATGGTATTCCAAAATCAGATTTAATTCCTTTCAGTATTCCAATTTGATTTAAGTTGAATCCGGAAGGAAGAAGTAAATACTGCATTTCAGATTAAGTCTAAAAACTGAGAGCGGGTGTCAGGCGTCAGGGGCCGTCTTTGGTAAAATTCCTGTTTCGCACTTACGTACCTATTATCTGCTTTGCTTATCTTGCAATCAGCAGATAACAGTAAAATGTGCTCTCAAGCTTTTTAAAAGCGCTTCTGCACAGTTTTATTTTTCTTACTCATGTGCATGTGGGATGGTAAGGCGAGGCATTAAAAAAGAATCATTTACTCAAAGTAAACTTCAATTTCAAATATAGCAGCATTAGCAGTTCCTTTACAGAGGTGGTAATAAAATGCAAAGGATGCTTAATTGTACACAAAATATGGAAGAATTGCGTTAAATTTAATTCTATAATAGTAAGGAGGAATTCTCTACTTTAGAAAAACATTCAAAGCAAAATAGAAAGATTAAAGAATTTATTTAATATATCTTTGATATAGATTTCATAAAATTATTTTCATTTTGTAAAAAAAAAAGTTTTTTTTTTTACGTAATCTCTATCGGATATATTTTACAATAGGAATCTATTAAGAATTAAACAATTTAGTGATCCTGCATATACGTATACATGTATGTAATAATAAATAATAATAAAAAAAATGATAAATAAATTAGGACCACAGTATTGATACTGACTCTCTTAAAAGCACACTGCATTTCTTAAGAACAATAAATTTAAAAAGAATGAAAATCTAATGAAATCGCATACATTTCCATTAAAGGCTTTAGCACATCAATCATTCTATGTAAAATACTGATAGAAATATGTGTATACTATATATGAATATATTTATTTATATATATATATATATATATATATAGGTATTGCGTACTATATATATATATATATATATATATATTACGTATATGTACATAAAGAACTTTGCGATCTTGTGGGAAAAATATTTTATTCGTCTTTGCATTTATTCAATATCGCGGAAACGTAAAATAGCACGTCCAGGTATTTCAGAATTGCATAGTTTTTGTATAACTTCAGACGCTTGCTCACAAGGGAATACCGAATACGGTGGAGGTTGAATCTATTAAAAATATAATTCACTTTACTGAAAATTCAACATGTGCATGTGTTTGTTTTTCTTCTTTTTTTTTTCGTACCTTTTTTTCTGCCACTAAATTAACTAAATCGTGTAATTGTTTTATGGAACCTGTCGGTATAGGTATAATTTTTTGCTGCGTTTCACTTAATAGGCGTGAAAACTTTGGCAATAAACGTTCAGCAACTTCTTCGCTAACTAAAACGACACCAACTTTTGATAAGCAATGCAGGGATCGATGCAAGCTGCGTGATGTTGTGCCGAAATCAATGACCACATCTACGGGGCCACCACACATATTTTGCGTACGCTCTATTAATTGGGGCTCATATAAGCATTCATTCCATTGCACGACACTTACACTGAAATTAGTTTGATGCAAGATTTAATTAAGGATTTTTCCTTAAAATACGTTTCAATTAAAAAAAAAAGTTACCTCTTCATTTCGGTAGCCAAGCGAAAACCCTCATCTCTTAGACTCGCTACGGTGACGTCTATGTAATTGTTGGCTCCGGTAGAAGCAAAATGATAACTTGCAATTCTTACAGCCCACAGTGCCAATCCGCCCGTACCAACAATCAGAATTTTGCATTTTTTCTTAGAATCGTTCGCGTCTGAAGATCGTTCCTTTAGCATTTCAATTACTACGTCATGCGCTTTGAAAACAGCGTTCATTGCTAATAGAGCTCCGGTGGGCAACATAGCGGCTACACTTATAGGTAAATGGTCTGGTATTGGAACTATGTATTTTAAATCTGGCACTACCAAGAGTTCAGCATAACCAGCCGGAGCTTCCTCGAAGGGATAAACGATTACTCGTTGCCCTATATGTAAGCCGCAATTGTTTTCTTCATTGATTTCGTTACCCAATGATTCAATAACGCCCGCAACTTCAAAACCCGGAAATAATGAACCTTCTCGTACCGCGGCATGAGCTGGAGACGACTGAGAGGATGCTACCGAAGCGCAATAATCACTAAGATCGGAGGCTACAGATGACATACTGCTAAAGGAGGCTGATCGGTCACGGCGTCTATAGCACGCACCGGCGCAGACGATTTCAATACGTGCTCCTAGCGCAGGGGTATCTTCAATGGGCACAAAAAAATTAAAGACGCAATTTTTTACTACAGGGCCTGGCGATTCTATTGACAGTTGACGGCAAAGTTTATTCATGATGCACGATCCGTTGGTGATGGAGACGGTAGATAAAGGCGTCTGAGATATATCGGGAGTGCTGTTAGTTGTCTTAGATACTGAAGTAACTCTAATTGAGAAAAGAGAAAAAGTAGGATATTTTTTAAATATAAAAAAATTAAATGTACACTTCTTTCACTAATATGCTATAGCATTCATTTATTCCCCGCAATGTAGATCAAAATTAACTGCCAACTCTTCCAAAAGTGTGATTTCATTACCTAAATCACACTAGAGCATCTGGTAGTCCATTTCCAAGATAAGTTAGAAATCGCCAAACTGTATGCCAATATTTAGCACTTATACTCTACACAACTTATGATAAGAGGGTATATTAAGGTTGTGCGAATGTATGCAACACCCGGAAGAATTTCAAGAAGACGCACGTTTTTCGGAACCATTCAAAGTCACTTTTTGACTCGACTTAAGCTTGGCTGGCCGTCTGACCGTCTTGATTTCTTGCGGTCAATCTATAGACCGCAAACTTTGGGATACTTTGATGAAATTTGGTTTGTGTCCAAGGACGAACGCTATTGAGAATGATTGGAATCAGCCTTATTTTGAAAAGTTATTGTATGAATGACTGTATGATGGATGTAGGCTGTTTAATGTTGTTTTTGTTTGTTTAAAAATAACGATAGATATACGGAACCGAAAGTTATGTAAATTTCCTGCTGTTGCTTTTCTGTTGACAGTACTGTGACCTGCCAAATCTGCATAATCTACTTTGTTTATGTGTAGAGTAAAAAAGTTTATAAATCACAATAACATTAATTAATTATTTGCTTTTAAGTTCAGGTTTCAATTTTGATAAATTATAATGAAATGAATTTTATTTTTTTTGTTAAGATTTAAATGCAGGTTTTACTTTCTTTTTGCCACAGTGTCGCAACGTACCCTAATTTTCTAATTACGCTTGGTATGTTAAAATCATACCCCGGGGACTTTGAAAAGTGTAAATATGTGAATTAAATCTTCCCCTGTTTATGTATTTATGTTTATGTATTTATCACCGAGGCTTGAGGGTCTATTAATTAACTTAAAATGTTTGCATATTTTTGATGCGTATCAAATGCCGAATGGATATTGTCCGCGTATCAAATTTCATTAAAATATCTCAACCATTGCTGTAGGTTGAATATGAAAAAAAACTGGACAGACGCACGGACAGACTCGTTTGGATTGATTCAAAAGGTGATTTCGGTATCATAATAAGTGGATCTATCCCATATCCATCTAGGTGTCGCGTACATTCACAACATAGTTAATGTGCCCTTATACTACTAGTGGTGTAGAGTGTAGAAAGCACCATGAGCCTCTACAGTAAACGACCTGAACATATATTGAATTAATAAACTAAAGGTTGGTTTTCGAATTTCCTTTTTCTTATCCGGTCTTCGAATGTGATAAAGAGAAAAAAATATAAACAAAGTCAAAGCAACCATGGCTTTGTAAAATTGCATTTAAGCTTCTGAGCTGATGGTATTTTGATTGATGTTTTATGCCTGCAATGTGTTGAGGAGATTCCTGGGTTCGGGAGAAATCCAATTTTCGTTTATTCGTGTACAAAACCAATTAGTCAAAAAACTGTAGTAAAATTATTAAAGCACTATTTATTTAATAAACATGTTTTCGTTCGCTTCCCTTTTCTAAAATTTCAAGCAATATTTCAATGACAGCGAAAAGCGATTAACGTCGTAGAAGAAAATGCATAGAAAATGTTTGTATGAATGAAGAAATGAGGAAAGGTAAAGTTGGTTTCTGCATTTGCGAACGCTTTGTCGAGGGGTATCATGAAAATCTTGATGAATATATACGTATAGTAAATTTTCCTCCTTGTTCCTTGCTGCAATGTAATTTGTCCGAAAAGATAAGAGCAATAAACGCGAGACATATGAAAATATTTTTTTTGTTCACACTTTGCCACTTATGCACATGTGATATCTTCAAACAGACACTGCTTTGACTTTATAAAATTAATAAAATATTCTTTATAAGTGCACAAAAACCCATCCATATCCATATATCCATAAATTTGCAAAGGAATACCTGCATATATCAACCGGCATAATCTTGTTTCTTTTATTTCACTTCAAATGTTTCATATAATTAATAATATTAGAAAACGGCAGAGTTTTATTCTTTTTCACACGCGTTATACACAAACGTACAAAAATTTAAGATTTCAGAAAACTTTTCTAATAGTGTTGCATCTTTGTCTGTACTTCTTCATACCACTACCAACAATTAACTAAACTCACTAAAGTTAATCAATGACTTTGTGTTCGCATATATCGCTGCAGTTATTAGTAGAACGTTCGAAACAATGGAAATGAGTGAAAATTTATTGTTAAACAAAAAAAAAAAAAAAAAAGAAAAAGAAACTGACCAAACAAGTTAAGTCAACTTTGTGTTAAAAGTTTCAATTATGTATTTCATATCCACCGACATCAACGACGCAAACGCATATCTACACTTATGTGTGTGAGAGAATTCGCAATACTATGTTACTAACATTCTGTTAGACTATTAAAATCATGAGAAGAGAATTGAAATGAGAGAACAACAAGGTCATTGTTACCATATAAATCAGAGAAGCTTTATTTATATTTACGAATTGATTCTAATTTGAGAGATCGCATCAGAATACAAAACAAAAAAAAAGAAATAAAAATATTATTTATAATAATACATATGCGAAAAAAGTTATAAGTAATAATTAACGCATAAAACAAAAGAAAACCTCAAATAACAAGACTTCATTATTAGCATTTGTATTTCTATGTAAGTTGTATGAACAAAACCGCACATGCATATCAATGATCCACTCGGTACACGCGTGATCATCACGCATTGCAATTGTGATCAACATATTTTTGCACGCATCTGCTCATATGTTCTAAATGAATAGGCAACAACAAAGTTTCAGTACGAAAGTTAAAATAGAAAAAAAAAAAAAAACAGATCAAAAATTTAGCTTAGAACGAATTACACATACACCCTCAGATCTGGTGAGCTATTTAGCTTTCGCGTGGCTTCACGGCATATGAAAGAGCGTTTCTCGCGGCTGTTGCGTATATGATAAGCAAAAAACTAGAAATTCGAATGTGAAGCCTACCTATCGCCAAAGGTGAATAAAATAGTAACTATAGTAATTGATCAGAATATAATTTGATTAATAGGATAAAATTGAATACCTCGAAAATTTCCTAAGTGATAAAATGGTAAAATAGATAAAATAGCAATAAATAGTTTATTTGGCTATACACAATTAGTATCCTTGTCTATCTACACGTTCATCGTAGGTCAGAATTTTCAAGTCGATTTGTTCGAAACATTGCGATAGAAAGCGCACGTTTGCCTGCATTCGAAGGGTTTGCTCACAGATTTTTCTTCTTTTTTTTTGTATATTGCCAGCCACTCGGGGGATGTCCCTCTGTGCGCACACGTTCGGGAAGTTTACAGTTAGAGAAGGATGAAAAGAGGGAAGTAAAGCCTGTCTATGTTTGACTTAACAGCGAAAATATCAGACACAGTGGGAAAGAATACCGCCGAGACGTTACTCCAAAGGCGGGCAGTGCGATCAAAGGACGGCGAGTCACGAAAGTGGGTCGTACGATGTGCAGATAATTTCAGGACGAATGAGTGAGAATGCTAAGAAAACCTTGCGCTTCTGGTAAAGGACCTAAGGCGGACATGCCTCTTTTATTTCCGTAGAACACTTGCCCATTACGATAGTTTTGGATGCACCTTCGTCACCGATGTGTCTTTGAGTCTTTCGTTCGAGCGCCTCCAAACAAATTTTGGGAGCTCGGACTAACACATGTGAAGTATACTTCAGTTTGTCCGGATATAAGCGGTGGACATCGGAAGGTTGTCGGCCGCTCTCTGCAAAGAGAAACGATCTCAAATCTTGTACGTTATTTAGCATGGCTGCGATCTATCTGAGGCCAGCAGTTGTAAGTTTTGAAAATTCGCTCGTGAATATATATATTTTCTTTTGCTAGAATAGACGACATTTTTCCTACATTTGCGAGTATATTTTTGACTTTTAATCAATATATACCTTGATATGTAGAATTAATGTTGGGAATATGGGAATAATAACATGTTAAGTAACAAACACATTAATGCTCATTTTGAAACGACTTTAATATGCTGTTCATGCTCATTCAGTGCACTTTTTAAATGTGGATAAGATGAAGTTTAAAAACTAAATTGGGCCACGGTCAACCATTAAATACTCTAACCGGTCTACCGTTATTTATAGAACGACTTTTCAAAATACGGCATTAACAGTCGAAAAAGTAGTCCGATTTGAACCATTTTCCATGGCTTTGGTTCTTGGGCGAAAACGCGTTTGTGCACCAAATTTCATCAAAATACAGCCAAAATCACCCACGAGCTGTTGATTGAACACAAAAAAGGCAGATCGGTTCAGAACAAAGGTCAAGTCATTTTCTGTGTTGCATACATACGTACAATCTTATAATATCGTTGCATATCAAGTGTTGTAGGGTGTATGGTACAAAAGTTGATAATAATTAAAAAGCGGAAAGTGTGTTGTAAAATTTTCTCTGCAGTCAACTAAAGCTAAATTGAAAGAGTTCCCTTTAGCTAAATAGGGTTCCAGTAGACGTAGTCTGCCGATAGTATAGTGTATTGATGGTAATGTTGTTGGGAAGCCTATCTCTTATGGTAGATGTAATATGATTTAGGAATATGTACACAATGTACCGCTGTAGACTCTATGGCTGCAATTAATAATCGTCGATGCATGGTGCTTGGTGCGGACGAGGCCGGAGGAAGACTACTATTTAAGAGACAAGTCTGACTCTGCAACAATGTCGGGAAAATATGTAAGTACAGTAAAAGTTCCTTATTCGCGCTTCCTTCATTCGCGGTTTCCTTATTCGCGGGGTAAAAAAATGCGATCCAGTTCTTCTATTCGCGGATTCTAATAAGTACATACATGAGAATAAAAGGATTCTAATAGGTATCCAACCCAAACTCCGTATTCGCGGCAAGCATCTCCCGCGAATAAGAAACTTTTACTGTATTTTAGGATATTTTCTTCCTTTTTTGCCTTGGTAGGTATCAAAAGTAATCCCTGTTTTCTTTGTTGAATACTTTTTCGAAAATGGGACGATATCTTCTCATTTAAGGCTGTTCACTTGGTCATACTTTCAATAGGGTCGCCTTAGTGCTTGACACGTTCGAGGCCTATTGTTCGATAAGAAGTCTACCAGTTTTTGCGGAAACCAATGCTTTCACTAAAATGTACGTTACACATAAAATAAGAAAGTGAGCATATTTTTAATTTTATAATACGAGCGAAGCATGCGTAATGCAGTTAAGTATTTTATAAATTTTTTTTTTTAATCGTTTCATATATATGTATATACATGTCTAAATAAGTATGCGGGTCAATTTTTATGATAATGTGTATTGTGCAGTTTGAGTGATTGCTGAAAATTTCAAATACATATAGCAAAGCTTTGATGAGCGCAGAATATATGTATATATGTATGGCATGCTTGCAATTGTCTCAAATGTTATAGAAAACAAAAAAACATAGATTTTATAAATGAATAAATAAATGATAATAATTACAGTTTTTGACTGCTACTACGTTTATGAAAACAAATAATGTAATAATTAATTAAAAAATAGAATTCAAACAATTTCTATATATTTCGCCATTCAAATCAATAACTATCTACTGATTGACATACATTCCTGATATAAAAAAAAGACATTAAATGTACAAAAACAGATAAGTACATTTTATTTTATATGAACGCATAGTGAAGATTAAAAGTGAACGTTTGCGATTACCGTCTTAGCGTTTGTTAGGTGTGCAAATAATTTCTGTAACTTTTTTGATCGAATTCAAATTGAATTTGAAAAACAAGTGAAAACACAATGCTTATAACGGCGTTTTAAAATAAATCTTCGTACGGGGTGCAATCGATAAAGTGGTCCGATCCGAACAATTTTTCCTTCTGCAAAAACGCGTCAGTCTATGAACTTTCATCAATATATCTCAAAAATTGCGACCTTTAGATTGAACAATAGAAGACAAGACAGATGGGCGGACAGACGCACAAACGAGCTTAGATCGATGCAAAAGATTATTCTGGATCACCTGATTTTGAATTTCCAGTTGTTCATATTTCGATTTTTCAAAATAACAAAGTGATTGAAAAAGTGTTTTCATCCAAACCATTGTCAATAGCAATCGTCCTTAGGGCGAGACTCTTTGGTGTATCAAACTTCATAAAAATATCTCAATAATAGTGGACAGTAGATTGAACACGTGAAAACATCACCGACAGACGGACAGATTACCGTAATTCTGAATTGATCTCATGTCTTTCTGGATGTTGCTTACATCTGCATAAACTTAGTATACTCTTGTACCGCAAGTGGTATAAAATGGAAATAAGTTTAATAACCATCACCACTTATGGCTTTTGCCTTCGAATGGGATGACTTGTGTATGCCCTCATGGCGGAAATTTCTCGGTTTCGAAGAGAAATACTCATCGGCTTGTTTTTGCGCATCTTCAACTTTTCACAACCACTAATCTACTGAAAATGATTGCATCATTGCAAGATTGGACCACCGTCAACTATAAAGGAAAAAGTCTGTGGAATGATCGCCAGTTGGAAGAGAAACTCTCAGCACAGGTTAAAGATCACTTCCTGGATTTCTTTTGCTGGAGACCGACAGACGTAAGCGTATTTCCTCATTTTTAAGACAACGTTTGTTTGCGCGAAATCTCGCAAACTACTCTCTAACTGTTTTATAGCTTGTTCCATTTTCACTCCAAGTTAATTATTTCCGTAACTCCAGCTGCTTTTTTTTCCAGTTTGATCCAGTTAAAAAAAGAAGACCTGGAATGACCTTTAATATATGCAGTGAAGAACAATTTGCATCTAAACTTGTATCATCCAAGCATGAAACCCTAAGCTATTTATATCCAAAATTTCGGAAAACATGAACGCCTCATTTACATGCTATGAAGCAAGCAATTTCAAGTTTCACAATTCGAAAAATATATTCGGTCGTGACTGAATCTTTTACGCCGTTCATCACCGTTGTCCTAAAAAAGGCAAAAAAAAAAAATAAATAAATAAAAGGGCTATATTTTCTGGCTCTATAAAATGGATTGGGCGCGGCTGAATTTTTCTATTTTCAAATTAAAATAGTTGTACGCGTGTCGTTTGAAAAGTTAAGCTCACTACCAAATTCTTTTGCAAATTTGTAGGCGATATCTTCATTTTCGCTAACATCAGAATCCTTACCACAGATACTACTCGGTTGGGCAGACGTAGAGATGGACAGATGAAGAGGCGGTTTCAAATTCTTGTCGATTTATCTGCCATACTTTATAAGTAATAAGTAAAAAAATCAATTTTTTATTTTTTTTGAAAAACTGAGATGTTCTCACTTTATATAGTGCTGTGGGCATGTCGTTCGATTAATTTTCAATTCCAACTTGCATGCAAGAACTTTCAATATTTCTTCTGAATTTAAAGTCGATAGCTTAATTTTTGCGGCTAGGAGCATGTTGTTTATCTGTGTAGCGTTCCATTTATTTAAAGGAATCTATGTTGGAGAGCCATGGATAATCCCGTACCGAAGAACGACTTAACTGAGTTGCCTAAAAGATTAACAAATCGTTCTTATCCCAAAAAAAGTTTTAGCCACGTTTTGCATTAGTTCATAGTATTCATAGTTCTTAGTATAAATGGTTTAATCAATGATAGGCATGATGACATTCGCGTGGTGAAGCATGTACATGTAATTGTCTTTAATGCGAATAGCGATTTAATTTAAGAACGTAGACTTTCCAATTGCGTAATGCGTAAACATACATATACGTTTTTAACTAATTTATTTTTAATTTCACTTACCACTTGTGATTGAAAATATTAGTGGAAGAGACCACAAATTTATGGATGCTTTGCGTATCTGCTTTAGCGTTAATACAATGGCTATTTTATATGCCTTATAAATACATATGAAAAGAAAATATTCTTTGACACAATGTGAGGGTATTTTTGACTTTGAAATATCCTTTAATCAAAACTAACATTTAGAAACGAGGGGATGGGATGAACAAAATCAGCCGTAATAACCCACATATGGGGATATGAAGGATAAAAGCATAACAAAAACAAAGCATAGCGGCTGCTTTGCGCATGCGCTAGGAATGTTGAAATGTTGATAACCATAAAAAACGATAGGGACACGATAAAATATTCAAAGCGTAGGAACGTGGGGCAGATCGGCAGCCTCTAATATCCAATTTGATAGTGAGATATGTTCGCAGAACAGACGAAACAAGGCAGATAACGCTCAATAACTGATTTCAAATTTTCTTGATATACATTGAACGACACTTCTAGAAAATTATTAGATGAGTAGAAAAGAAAATTGCTTGGAGTTATGATAACAAAAAAACAAAAAATTAATTAAACCAAATTTCTAAACCAAATTTCTATTGACGACACCGAAAAAAATTTCTATGGCCTAGATGAAACTGAAGCCAGTAAGGTGTCGGAAGCTTCATAATCGTAGAAAAATGTACAAATACTCTTTTGCAGTCTTATGCATGCTCAATTGGTCCAAGTAACGAAAGAGATTGACGACGAGTGACGAGTTGGCCTCGCGTCAACAATTATATGTTAATCCACAGGTACGTAAACTGAACAATCCTTCGATGATAACTAAAAGTTGTTTAGATTTAGCCAAGGAAAGCAAAGATAGCACCAAAATCACTGCTTCAGGTGGTAATGATTGTGCTTGCAAAAAGGCCAGCGGTTCTCGAAATCTTCAAAAGATGGATGCCCTTAAAAACACAAAAAACTTAAGCTAACTCGCTGTTATGAACAGCAATTTGCGATGAGAATGGACGTCGAAATAAACCCTGCCCAACGAAATAATAATTGCTTTAGCACCAGTAAGCTTGGATTATTAAGCAAATTGCAAGCGAGCGATGATGACATCAATGCCGCTATATTAATACCCATTGAAAATGGGTAATCAACGAATCATGCGAGAATCTTATTGAGAAAGTGAGAGCGGGTTACCGTTTTAAGGTCGTGACTGGTCCAAACGGTCAAATGGGTTGTACATTTTGAAAAATGTCCAAGTAAAATAAATAAATAAATTAGAATTTGTTAAATTTTCAAATTTTCGTTTTATTTGCTTTTTGTATACAATAAAGAAATTTTATTTAATCAAAGAATTATGCTACAGGTGTTGTTGGTAAAACAGAAACAAAATAAATATGTTGAGGGAGAATTTTTCTGAGTTTTTGTTTACTTTTATTAAAAAATCTATGTATTTTGTTTATTTTCAGACTAGAGTAGATTGATTTTGGTCATTTTCACACAAACACGGTTGATTTTGCCCATTTTGAGATAAGAGTGGATTGATTTTTGGTAATTTTACGATACCAGTGGAGTGCTTTTCGGTAATATTCAAAGCTAATTTTTTGCTCATAGTATTAACATTCCAGTATTAACATAATACTAAAAACAACTCTGCGCTGAACATATGGTGGAGGGAAAAATGAGATAATTCAAATTCATTAAAAACAACTGTGGGCTGGAGATATGCGAGGGTAAAATAAAATAATCCCAGCTCATTTTTGAGGTGTGGAGGTAGTGAAAAAGGAAAAGAAATTTAAAAAAAAAAGGCGTCTTTAAAGTGAAGAAATTAATATTTTCTCACAAACATTTCAACTGATACGTTTTGTCATTTTTATTTGACCTGAAAAAAATTGTTTCAACTGTTTATTGCGGTAAGTGCATTTATTTTGCTCTACATATATTTCCTATACTTTAATAATAATCACAAAAAAAAAAAAATTCACTCTCTCAAGATTATTGAAAATAAAATTTTAATTATCAATTGGGAGTTGGTTTGAACACTAAGTTACGATTACAAGCAACACGAAGAAAAAGAAACGAAATCATCGACACAATAAAAAAACAAAAAAAATTTAAATTTTAATTAGAACAAATTCACATAAAAATTATTAAAATGATAATAAAGATGAAAAGAACAAGAGAAATGAGTAAAAATTTTGAATAAAATAATTTTTTTTTTGATTTT